ATATTTCGGTATAAGAAATAAAAAAGAAGAGAATAAATAAAAAGCGAGTCTTAGGTAGCACAAAAGAGCATAAAAAGTAATGAATGTTCATTTCCCACTACCCCATTCCAAAAAGCATTCTCACCGTTTTAAGAAAAGCCAGCTTTATTTATTTATTTATGAAGTTGAAATATGTACACGCTACCACGAAAGAGCATAAGCTGGAAAAATGACGTTTTCTCTTCTTTGGAAAAAAAATGAGTTTACCTATCTATCTAAAGCCTTGACAAAAACATCTCCATAATAAGCAGGCCATTATTGATAATGGAATTTGCTTAAACAAATTCTAATTTACAGCTAATGATTTCAGGCTAATTTTATTGAATTCCTGAACTTCTTCCACACCGTGTGGGGACCGTACAGGAAATCGAACATGCATAATATATGACCTGACAAAAAAACAAGTAACCTGCTTTATTTAAGCATCTCTATTTGTCACCAGCACTACAGCAGTAATGGCATTCTGTCCACCATTTTAATAATGCATATATTGATCAGCTTAGCTCACATCTCCACTAGCCCCGCATGGGCGCCCTTAAATCTCTTCAGATGGAGAAACACAGACAGTTTAAATTGAAAGGTGAAAATATAATTGGAAAACAGAGCTGCATTGGTAAAACTAACATTAATATGTGCTACTATAGAAGCACTTCTTTATTGTTGTTTTAATGAATTTCACTGAGAAAAAGAGTGTAGTTAAATGAATTCAGGGTCTTGCCCGAACAGAGGGCTTTTGAAGAAGGTTTTTGACCTTAACTTTAAAAAACAGGTATCAGCTATGCCACCAGAAGAAATAACTTTTCAGACCGGAATTGTACTCCTTCTTAGGCAGTTTCTGTTGTTTCTATGTGAAAGGCTTTCCAGGTTTTTTTTGTTTTCATAATTAACTTATGCATCCATAAATGTTGTTTATGCTGGTAATATAATCAGTGCCATGCAGAAGGTATGAAAATTCTCAAGAGAACAAAAGGAAAAGCAGACTATCTACATGGTGCCTAAACATACAATCCAGGACACTGAGTAGCAGCAATAACATATACACAATTATTTGTATGATTGCAATAAGATGTATTTTAAAGTCTTAATAAAGCAAAGAAAATTGCAAGACAAAGAAGTAACATTTTGATCAATGGAAGCATTTTTGATTATTGATTTAAAAAATTCCAAACATCGCATTTAAAATTTTGGCACGGAAACGACATCTTTTTCAGGTGCCAAAAATCAACCCAAAACCGCAGTGCTCACAGTGAGTTAAAGGAAGAAGCGAGCCCGTGGGTGCGCTGGGGACGAGCGGCCGAGGCCTCGTCTCAGGGGCGCCTCGCGCTCACGGTGGAGCCATCGCTCTGACTACAGGGGAGTCTTTCTCGCAGATGACTTCAAGTTTCTGGCATAGATTCAAGCATTAGCAACTTTCCTCTGAATCCTACTCTTAACATTCTTAAGGCCAGTCTTGGTAACTAGGAGCACTCTGAAGTTAAGAACCTGCTTTTTTATCTCCGCTATGAATTTCTCAGGTATTATAAATGGAAAGAGAGGGTAAGAATGGTAGAAAATATTTTAAAATCACAACCTTTGAGGGATAAAAATCATGGCACAATATTGCTAGAGAAAAGGGTACAAAATTTTGTTTGCATTCATCATTCCATTTACCAAAGCCAATGAGTTACACTGCTTGAAAATAAGGTTCCCCCGCCGAGAGTTTTCCTCTTCTCCAAAAAGGAACTTACCTGGGCTGATTTCTAACTTTTCTTAGCCAAAAAAATAAAACTATAAATCTTCTCAGAATAATGGGCATTGTTTCCAGAGAGAAAGACCAAGGCTGACAGTTTGGACCATTTAAAAGGCTGGGCAGAGCAGAGGGGGATTTAGCTTGTTTACTGAACACTGATTGCCAGAACTACGGTTCAGGAGACCAAAATGAACAATCAGCAGAGTCTTTTTCTCAAGACCAAAATCAGAGCTACTCTTTACATTCATAGCCAAAACACTGAGCGCTAAATTTTAGCCTTGAACAGTTTTGAAAGGCCCTATTTCCAGTATCAGGCTTCAGTTTTAAGTAAGCTAAGACTTTTACATCAGAGACTTTTACATTTTACTTGTTTTAGAAACATTTTTCTGAAGTTCAGGAACAGGCTAAGCTATTCTTTTGGACACAGCCTTTGTATGTCTGCTTCTCTAAAAGGAAACTTTTAGAGTAACAGAAAGTTCATAGTGCCTAGGAAAAAAAAAAAAAAAAAAAGAGAGAGTAGCAGAATCCTAAGCTGCAAATACAGCTTTTGTCAAAGACAACCTGAAGTTGGTCGACTTCTGTACTGATCATCCTTCCCTCCTTCTCTGTAAGACATCTTTGAAGGGCAGACAGGGTGACCTAATTTCAAGGGTTATATTTTGTTCTTTTTTTCTGCAGGGAATCAGAACACCTACAACTAGAAAGGCCGCACATTAAACTACAAAGGTGCAGCAGCATAGGAAGAGGAAAGAAACTGTATTTTTTAAAAAAGATCTAAAACGTTTTAACTTTGATATGAAGAAATGATCAGATGGTGTGAGCAAAGATTTCTGTCTGTACATAACTGCATGTGGGAGAGAAGATAAGCAAAATGGAAAAGGGAGAAGCAGACCTATTTTGTAAAGTCACTTTGCACCTATTTATGATGCCTCACTTTTATGTAACACTTTTCATCCCTAACAGTTTTCAACACTTCAGCTGATGGGTGAGTGACAGAGAGATCACTTAGTCCATCGCTGATGTATTGCTATCTTAATGATGAAATCTGGGAACTTTTTAAAAAAACCTTTAGGACAAGATACAATATTCATTCTTTATGAGAAGTAACTTATTGACATGAAAAAGAAGATTTCTTCCCTCTAGGAAGAAATGTCATGTTTTCAAATATTCAAATATGTCTCAAATGGAAGGAGCTTCACTGCAATTGCTCAAAAACCCTTGTCTTAGCTCCACCACTGTCTTTGGATAAAGACTTTGAATGGATGTCATGCTGAGGTAAGGCAACATCTAAGTTGTTTCCTGAGTGCTAGTGGGTAGAATGAGCTTTATGATTTTACAACTGCTTTATGCTACTTGTTATAGCCAGATGGCTAAAGCAGACCTCAAACACTTCATCTTCTTCATATTTTAACTTTATGAGAGGGAAACATATGGAAATGGGGTGGTGCTCCATAAAATCTTGGATGTTTTGGCCTCATTGATTCTGTGATAATACTGAAAGTCCCAGGTGAAGTTTTGAACAACATGCACCGTATACATGACTTCTTTCTAAACTACTTGATTAGTAAGTAGAGGGGAGAGGTTAAAAAAAAAGGGGGGACTATACCAACCATACCACCCCTTAAATACAGCATTATATTTTCTTAGAAAAGAAAACCTTCACTGTGGCATTCTTGACCATTGGGTGAAGATGATCCCTTGAGAAGCTGTGGTGTCACCACCTCCATCACTCTGCTACTGTGAACAAGTGCCCAGGGTCAAGTCTGGTTGCCTACAGTGTTTCTGGATTTGTCACAACCTCAGGGTTCCCAGGAATTTAAAGATGCAAGATATGCTCTACTCTCTTTCTAATCTTGATTTCTCACTATGTGCTCTTAAATATCTCCTTCAGGATGAGGGAACACAACGTACTACAGCAATATTTGCAATATAGCAAATAGTCAAGAGGGAATTTCATTTTCTGGTACAATTCCAAACTTCAGACTTCTCCACCCAGAAACTGAGAGCTACATATATGTAGCAGAACATTTTGAGAGGATGACGGCTATGGGATGGCTTTGGGATACGCTCTTCTTCCAGGCCCAAGCTGTTTGATTTTGAAAATTTAAATTATTCAATCAAAAACCCATTTGCTCAAATTGACTTTTTAGACATTACAATATTTAGATATTACATTTTATCACCAAATTGGGTGGGGGGGAGACACTGTCTTACTATATGTTTATTTTATCAAAACACACAAATGGAAGTAGGAGGAAGGAGGAGATCTAATTGTTCATCCATGTACATACATCTTTGGGGATTCTTCATTTGGTGTTTTTTTAAAAATGCCTTTTGAAGTGTGGGATTCAGGTTAGTGTAAACTCCAAAAGACTAGTCTCAATTTTCAAAAAATACACATGAAATTAAAATGTGTTAGAAAAATATCAAATTCTCAGAACTTCTTATTTATTCCTGAAATAATATTAAACTTCAATTGTTCTAGCCATCAAAACTGTCTGTGATTAATATATGAAAACAGTGTGTTGCTATTCAAGAAAGCCAAGTGGCCAACAGTAAATATGCCGTTCTCCAACAGACTATAATCTTTCCAGGCTGCGCTTGAAAATACTTCAACGTAAAAGACTTTTTAACACCTCTGAAATTTCTTTTACTTTTTCTAAAAAGGAGCAATTCATCCAACACTAACCTGCAAAACAACACACAGACACCAAAAATTATTAAAAAAAAAAGAAAAAAAAAGCATACCCTGTGAATATCATTCTGTTTCTGCACGGTGGGAAGATCTCCCCCAATGGGTGCTTGCTGTTTCAACTCATCCTCCTTCAGTTGCAGCCAGGCCAAAAGTTCCTGGAGAGAGAGATGTAAACGCTTCCACTGGTCCGTGCTGGCTTCCAAATGGGACCTGAAAGCATGTGTTAAATGTCAAATATTTTCAGGCACAGCGAAAACAAACAAACAAAATGTTTAAACTTCATTTTCTTTTAAAGATCCTACTGTTTCATAAGTTTAATGATTTTTTTTTCCAAGTGGCTCCAGGAGCTTTGAATCATATTCTGGCAATAATAACTTAAATTTAGTTCCACAGTCCTGGCCTGAAACATCCCTGCCTTTCTCATCATTTTTTTCCCCATTATATACAGGACCACTATGAGACCATGTCTCAAAATATATAGAGGAATGTCACCAGTCTCATGCTCATCTCTCGGGATAATGCGAGACTGTCTAAAATAGAGAGACTAGTTTTCCCCTCACGGAAGTTCAGGCTCTTCTATAATCCACTATATAAAACATTCTGCTTCCCACAGGATTCATGTGCTTGCTCACCCACAAGACAAGAGGTCCAACACCTCCCTTTCTCTCCAAAGTCACAAGGAAATTGTTAAAACAAAGAGAATCATCTTAAATTACACAAATGTGTGTGGCATTTGAAGAGAGGTTTTAACAAAATTAATCAAATCCCTGAAAAAATTAAAGAACAGAATACTGTGTTACGCAAACAAGATCCATGCCAAAAGATCTCCCAAATGTTTCCTCCATGTGTACGTGTTTGTGCATGCAAATGTGCTTTTTAATACTTCAGATGAAGTATTGAGCAACTTCTTTATGGAGTGAAAATATGTAACTGAAACATCACCAGATTGATCAAATCTTCAACTTTGCTAAGTCAGAGATGAAGCATACTAAAATTTTGTCTTCCTAGACTTATGAATAAGACTAGGAAGCTTTTGTTTAACTGGTGGTTGGGAAGAAACTTCTAATTCATTTTCAGGCATTTCAAGAACTTCTCTTAGCAATTCAAACCAAAAGCAGTATTACGTAAGAGCAAGACATCAAAATGTCGTAGCAAATAAAAACAGATTTTAACATATTCTTTTTTGTCTAGTTTGTAGCTTTGTTTATACAGTGAAAATCCCATTTCTATAACTCATACAGCAAGGGCTATAAAGAAATGGGACAAACATGGTCTTCGGATGAGGTTAGCCTCACGCACTGATCCCCCCATATGCCAACTTCCACCTCCTCCAAACACGGGCAGCACCTCGGGCCAAGCACCAGGCTCGTGCCTTCTTCCACAGCCGCTCTATGGAGCAAGAGGCCTCGTTACCAGCGCTCCGCTCCAACCTCCCCTAGCCTGGCAAAGGCTTCCCCCACATGCCACCCCGCTGCGCCCCTCCTGGGGGGTTTGGGAATGTATGTGTATGGATGTGCGCAGGGTTGCGCACGCTATACCCACAACACATGTACGTATCCTTTTGTTCAAGCACCTGCAGGTGAAATGGAAATTATGAAGCCAATTTTAAAAATGAAGTCTTTCAAACAAAGAAAGTGTTTGTTAGGGTAAACTGCAGTGACTCATCAGAATGAAAAGTGGCAGTGCAAGTAAGCTTGGTATCTCTTGACATCTACCATCTGTTTCACCTATCTATCTGAAGTACACTGCATTTAGAAAAGCCTGCCTCACCTAAACAGTGAGAGAACCTCTTCCTCTGGCAGCCTAAAGCTTAAGAAAAACAAGGAAGACAGTTCAGTGAAGATAAAGTGGGACAGGTGGGAAGTTTCCCATTTCTGCTTTTGTACCTCTTCTGTGTGAGCAGTGCTGACGATGAAACCTATGCTGTATTACGTAATGAAAAGAAATAGCTCCTAGTGACTGAGAAGAGCTTGTTCTTTCTGTCAGTGGCCAATAATATTTATACTGAATGTTTTAAAAGATAAGACCTGTTTCTTATCCTGATCAATATTGCTGAACACCTTGAACCTTCGACTGAAAGCAGGTACTTTAGAGAGGATGTTTAATGCACGAGGTACTGTGATAAACCTATGGTTTTTAAAACATGGGGTTTTTATCTTTTGCCTTGATTAATGACAACAGTGCGGAAAATCCCACATATTCAATTACTGATATTTGCCACACTTGCTGTTTTTCTTTTCTCATCTTTTTATTTGGGTATATTCATGGGTAAAAGGCATCTGAAGAAAAAAATATCTCAGGGAGACTTTGAAGGGTTATATCCCTTTCCTTTAGCTCCTCAAAATAAACGGGAGGAATGTGTCTTTCTTTCTTTCTTTCTTTCTCTCTCTCTCTCTCTCTCGCTCTCTCTCTCTCTCTCTCGCTCTCTCTCTCTCTCTCTCGCTCTCTCTCTCTCTCTCTCGCTCTCTCTCTCTCTCTCTCGCTCTCTCTCTCTCTCTCTCGCTCTCTCTCTCTCTCTCTCGCTCTCTCTCTCTCTCTCTCGCTCTCTCTCTCTCTCTCTCGCTCTCTCTCTCTCTCTCTCGCTCTCTCTCTCTCTCTCTCGCTCTCTCTCTCTCTCTCTCGCTCTCTCTCTCTCTCTCTCGCTCTCTCTCTCTCTCTCTCGCTCTCTCTCTCTCTCTCTCGCTCTCTCTCTCTCTCTCTCGCTCTCTCTCTCTCTCTCTCGCTCTCTCTCTCTCTCTCTCGCTCTCTTTCTTTCTTTCTTTCTGTAGCTACTAATATCTTTTCAGGCTCACATTCTTCATTTATTTTTAATGATTGATGTTATGAAGATGGTTTTTGTCATTACACAGACTGACCTCCCTCAGGGCCTGAGCTGAAAAAGCTAATATTTCATACATTACTTTGAAAAACATTCCTGCCTTTTGCTGCCCTCTGAACTACCACCAACACACAGCAAGCAAGCAAATGAAAAAAATGCTAGAGACTGAATGCAATGGAGCTGCGCTGTCTTTTACAAAAAAGACACATTTTTTGAAGAAAAGCTTCCTGCATAGTTTCTTCTGAAAAGAAAAACTTCAGCCCATTGAAGCCTGTACTTTCACTTCAGCTTTTGTAACATTATCATTTATTACATTTTTCTTGGAAGGAGAAGTTCTTCTCTCATGACACTTACGCTTTTAGTTGGGAATTCTGTCCACTCTCCAGACAAAAAGCCCAAATTCTAAATAACGCATATTATCTTTTGCAAGGCTATTCTTAGTTTTGCACTGAAAATAGAAGCACTAAAAACAAAGCTTATCATAAATATAGGTTGTTTAATTGCTTTCTTTTATGACTCATTGATTAGTCATACCCAGCTATAGAAAAAGCCAGCATTACAGAGAGTACAGTTACTCTTTAAATATGCTAATCTCTCTTTCTGGAATTATAAAACCTCATTGTATGCCTCCAATCCTAATGCCCTACTATCTTTTCCACACCAAAAAAAAAAAAAAAGATAATCTTTCTTATAAAATTAAGCAAAGATTCAAAAGAGCACAAATCATTTCAAAATTGATAAAAATGGCACTATCAGAAACAATACTAAACTGGCAAAAGGCACTGTTCCATCTTACACACCAATTGTGGGGCTCTCGCTTTCATTCGGGTCCTACCTAACGTTTAGGGATTTTTTCCTAAGCTCGCTCCATCTGAAGTTCATGTTATCCAGCCGTCGCTGCAACAGGGCTGCATCATCAGAGCCTTCCAAGGATCGCAGGATTTTCTGCCCGTTTTCATCCAGGTTGTGGAAGATGTCAGTATGAGCATCAATTTCTGCCTGAAGATCCTACGGAACCAACAGAAAACAACACACGGGATTACTTAGGAAATCACAGAATCTACTACTTCCCAAAAGAGTGTAAAATGCCACAACGTAACACAGAGTTACTGGGCTGGATTCTGATTACTCCTTTGATGTCAATTGCGTATATTGCACAGACATATTCCACTTTCATGTGAAAGCTGCTGGCCTCAAATAATGTCTTTTTTTTTTTTTTTTTTTAGCATACAGAGCCAAATTTGAGAAGTTAAAAGCCTAGCCTCCGACAGACAACAAATATGCAAGGACAAGAAACGTTTAGTTTGCTGACAAGACTAAAGCATCCCTGGGGATCTTGGGGAGAGCTGACCTGCACGTGATATGTCTTCCTGTGCAACATTTTCAGTTTGATCTGGGGACTGCAACACCGGTCCTGCTGCATGGTGCCTCCAAGACAACTGAGCTCCTGCGGCTGCGCAGCTACCCAGTGCCAAGCTCCCTCACAGCCTGTTGACCGACTGCATTTCAGAGCACGGGCCTCCACTGTCCAGAGCAATAAACAGCCACTTTGTGCTGTACCAAAACACTGCTCGGGGCCACCGCCGTAGGAGGGCCTGAGAAGAGCAAGGCCCCAGAATATGCACCCAGCAGCTTGGGTTTGAACAGCCAGCTTGTCTTATCGCTTGGTAATCGCGGGCCAGCTACGCTCTGAATTCGTCTTTCCCCCTCATTTTTCGCAGGCTGCCCCTGCCAAGGGGACATTCCTGCGCGCGCTGCCGGGTGCCGGCGTTCCGAGGTGCCCACGCGCTCAATGGCCCTTTGTGGAGCCGCTGCCTTTCTGCGGGCGCCCCGCGCGCGCGCCTGCCCCATAAGGTCACGGATTCATTCCGCACGGAACGGGGGCTGAATCCAGCTCTTCAAATAAGGGAAAATATATATATGTATAATGATAATTTAAGCACGCACATGCGCTATATGTAGCCAAACAGCCCCCAGAACACAGTGGCTTTCAAAGCCGGCAGCGTGCTGAGCGGTGAAGGAAGCTCTGCCTCCTCCTGCGGGGAGCTGGGCCCTCGCCTTTCCGGCTGCGGCCTCTTGCTGCTGAAACGGGAGCGCTGGCGACACGGCTGCGAGAGGGGAAGCGATTCACGGCATTCGGGAGCAAGACCCAGGGCCAACTGCGCATCACGGACAGGCCCTGGTGGGAACTGGTTCTAATTTTTTCTCAGAGAAGGATGACTTTGCAGGGGGGAAGCGCACACCTTGCCTGCTTGGTGTGTTCCTTATTGAACAGCGTTTATCTGATGTTTTAAGAGCAATGTGAACAGCATTGGATCATGTATAGACTTTCCCTGTCCACCTACCACTGTTCCAAATGTTATTTGCAGTCCTTGCACAGTAACTACTAGCAAAGTATGCAGAGAAAATTTTGGAAGAGGTTAGGAATGTAGCGGGCAGGACAGCAGTAGGAGTTCTTGTTCAACTATCGTGCTTCAGCAGTGCTCATCATAGCACTGAAAGAAGTTCAGAAATGGACAGCAGCAGTAGTCACTCCGCAAAATGCAACAGCTCTATAAAAACTGTATTTACGTATGTCAAACACTCACAAAAAAAATGAAGCATTTTCGTTAGCTCAGGCACTATTCTGGCAAGTGTGGTCCCAATCTAAGAGCGGAGAATGGACTGACCTGACGCAATGGCTGGGAGTTTGTAAGGAATGAGAGCTAATAGTCACTTAGGATCCACAGCAAATTTTAAAAAAAACTTCTCCTTTTTCTTTTTTTTTAAGAAGACTTGCCTTTGAAATAGAAATCAATTTGGGAAATCAAGATTCAGCCCTAAACAGAAAGAGAAGGATTTCACTTGGTTCTTTAAATCAGGCAAAAAACTTGCGACCGACCGCCAGGAGGTACTGATGGGTGTTATGGACTTTAGAGAAAGCCGTCTGAGCGTTACATGAGTGATAAATTTGTATGTTCACATAACACGCATACATATTCCCATCCTCACGGAGTATACCACTTTTATAAACCACTTTTATGAAAAGTCCTAGATTATAGAGGTAAACAGAATTTTCCACAATTATTCAGTTTGAATTCAAATGCATGTTTCAGAGAAAAAAAAAAGTCCATTTTGATTTTTAAAATGCCATTAATAAGACACTTATCTATGGACTGAATATTCTAGGTCTGAATGCCTTTGCTTGAAAATTTGTACTTGATTTCAAGTCCAAACTTTTCCAGTTCACCTTCCAGGCATGGTATTTTATTTCCATTTTATTGACTAAGAGTACTCTATTACCCAATTTCTTCCTCCTCGTGTATATATTTGAAGACTTTAATAATGTCAGAGTCCTTCGGTTAAATAAACCAACAGTGATGGAATAGTCAAATTAGTATTGAGGAAAGGATAAAGTTCACTGTAAAAAAAAGTTCACTTTTAGTGTCTCAGTCCTTTCACATTTAAAACAGCTAAATCCATCGTTCAGAAAAAATTACCATATGCAGTTCCTAGGGCATAAAATTCTTAATTTCTAGAGTGGCCTTGAAGACATCTGCCTTTTTCTTGGCAAGAACAACATGTGCCATGAATTATGTATGTCAAACACCTGTTTGTAACAGGAAACTGTCAAATCAATGCCTCTTGGCACTTGATAACATAGAATTTTGCAAAAATTCACTTTCACATTTTTCTTGACTCTACAAAACTGTCTGATGCTCCACACATTCCATGCTTTTCTCCTCACACATGCAAATTTCTGAAGAAAAAAAAGCAAAAAAATTAAGTGAAATTAAAATTAGAAAATTAAGAAAAAATTAAGAAAAAAATTAATTCTTTTTATTTCAGACTGCTATATAGTAACAAAATGAAATTCAGCAGTTAGCTAAATGGGCAACAAACATGTGAAAGTCGAAGTACTCTTAGCGCAAGCTTATTATTTAAGTCCTGATTTTTCCTACTCCAAACTATCTTTGTAAACTTTATATTCTCTAAAGCTCCTAAAAGCAGTTTATTGCAGCTATACAGCAGACTGGTGCAGAGGAACAAAGCAGCACAACAAAAACAGAGGCATTGAAGTCATTTTGGTTGGTGCAATTCTCACCTCTCCTTTGGGACTCCCCTGAATCCCAAGGGAAGCTGAGTGCAGGCAAAACAAAGATCTGGACACCTGTAACTATCTTCTGCAACATACAATTCCCGTTTTCCAAAAATACAAGAGAAAGGTCAATACGAACCAGATTCTTTCTCTTGATAAGAAAAAACAGGGAGAATCCATTTCATCTTATAAACAGCTAAAATTGTTGCTAAGTTATACTGGCATTATACATCATGCTAAGAGAAGGGCTATAGGAGTAAATAGAGCATTAGATTTTGACTGTATATGCTGCATTTTTCTATAGCGGTTATTACTCATACTGAGAGGAAATATGTTCTCTTAAAAAGGGCAGCCACAAAATAAAACATGAATCCTGAAAAAATACACTGGCTACAGTAAAGCATCAATGAGGTGGGTTATTAGCCTAAGTTAATATTCAAGTGCCCGTTTCGTTTGAGCACTGTTAACTCCTCAGAGTGAGGGGAACTACTTAGAAGGAACTGCCATCCCAATCGATGGCAGATTTACGTAAGAATTGCAGAGTGAAATCCTCCCTCACTAAAGCTAGATCATGAAATGCAATATGATGCTTGACCACAGGCACCTCGCTCCATGTTTCTACACTCTTAGAAAGGTGCATTGACTCTATGGAATAAATCTGTGTAGTATTTACACTATGTTACAATTCTGTTCAATCTCTACAGAATGCACTTTTATATGGAAAGTTGAAAGATATTTTCCGTATCTTGAAACAACGACACATGATGGACATCACTACACAAGGACTAGCTTATATAGTGCATTCTTCCTTGATTTTGAAAGAGTTTCGAAAGACATTAGGATTTCAGTACCACAGAACTAAAAATGATAAAGAAATTAAATAAACTTGTCTTGAGAGGAAAAATGAATCTTCTGGCTGAAAATAGGAAGAGGAAATTTGTCTTTTATTCCTGTGCACGTGAAACCTCTATGCCTGATTTCAGGGGAGAGGTATAGGGCGGCTGCAATATACTACCCCCACCATTGCCATAACGCTGGGGGCTTAATGTGTTTCTACCCTACCTGGCTCTCTCCCTTGGAAATGTTTAGGATTCTCCTTAAAAGTGGAGAAATTCTCCACGTTCCCGTTGCCTTAACTTCCCTCTCTGATCTTTTTGGTAGGTAAAGGAAATTCGCCTACAGCACCATATGTTTTATCTCACAAAAACAAAACAAAACAAAAACTGTGAAACGCAGCTCAGCCAACTCTGTGAAAACCGGCGCCCTGGAAGTCTTGGCAGCCTCCACATCATGAGGCTACTCTTACAAGATGTCAGCACGGTCTGGGATCCTTTATCAGAAATAATTAACTAATCAGTGTCAGCATGGCCTTATCCCACAAGCACTATATATAGGCATGATGTATAAAGGACATTTGATTTGTGTCATTTTGCCATGACACATGACAAAATCTGCCATTAATTTTGACAGTTCATCACAGAGGGATTGGTAACGTGTCTGGCTTATTCTACTTCATTTTCCTTAATAAGAGACTGGAAATAAAATAAAGTCCTTGAAAGAAGTAATTAGTTACACTAGTTGGACCACACGAGTCAGATTTGGACTTCAAAATTAATGCAGCACAGCTGACAAAACATTTATCTTTTATGCAAGGTAGAAACAAAATTAATTATGCAATAATTTAAGAAATTAAAGCACTTAAATCTGCCTCTACAAACACAATTCTATCCTTGGAATTGTGCCTTTCATTTCTAATGAAGCAGTTAACATTTTCTAGGTAATGCACAAAGTTAACATATTAATGAAATAAACGGAATTAAAAAAAAGATGGCTCTGAAATCAAAGACAGTACCACCTGATTAAAGAAGCAAGAAAATAAGAAACAAACAGAAAAAGATCTTTATTGGTGGTAATTTTAAAAAGTAAAGTC